AATGAAAAACTCAGTTGTTTACAAACATTTAAGCCTTGAGTGTCAGAGTGATTGGTTTTAAGTTTTCAGAGATGCTATTTGACTTATTTTCTCCAAGCGTCACACCCTTTCCTCCTTTCCCTCAAAAGAAAAAAAAAAAAGTCTGCAGAATGAAGGCAGATTTCCAGGCTTAAGTGTAAAGAAAACTAAGATTTTTTTCAGGTTTGGATTATAACCTTTAGTTAAGAGGACTGCCAAATACACACACACACACACACACACACACACTTTTAAATTTTTTATGAAACTAAACATGAAACAAAAAACAAACAGAGGAATTCCAGCTAAGTCATATCCTTTGAGAATGAATGAGACATGATAAGATATGTCAATAAGACATGACACATTTATCCATAATCAAACACTTCAATTCCCTGCCTAAAATTGACTTGGAAAATGGTACAAAGTCTATAGCTGGCTTTAAAGGATAGCAAGATAACATATTTTAAAAGCCTCTTAAACCACTGAAAGCACTTACATATATGTTTTACATTCAAAACTAACCTTATGGAGCCTATTTTATTCAATTTAAAAGTTACCCCCCCCCATATTTGTGGTTGCTTTTACTATGTTTTTAAAAGGGGGTGCTAATAATTTAAGCCATCCTAGAGATAAAATAGGTGTGAAGAATTCTTTTTATATCTTGGATGTTCTAGGTAATTCTAGAGAACTTTATTTGTTCTTCCTTAATCTGAAACTCTTCCAACATAGCTTCTGACCAGCAAAGAAACATTCCTTAGGCACTGTGAAGTGTCCTGATGATGGAGCGGGAACCCAGGTTGAAGCATACAATTTGGTTAGAACTACTGAAAATTAACACATTTATCTGCTGAGAGCGAGAAATACCTTTACCCCACAACTCCTGAGATTCTTAAGAGGGAAAACCAATTTCACAAACAATTTTTAAGACAACCCATGTATAATTCTAAAAACTGCACATATTTAGGGTATTAGATGTTTGCTTTTGTAAGGCATCAATGATTAAATTAATATAATGCATATCTAACAAAAGATGGTTAACACTCAGTATCAGAAAACCATTCATCTTTTCTCTTAAACTTCTCTAAGTCCTGCTACTTTTATCAGCTTAAATAAGAAAAGAATGCCTCTTGGCCTAATCAACTATGGTTATAAAAAAAACAACAACTAAGATATCTGAAACTATTAGGCACATCAAAGTTACAGTTTATGTAGTTCAAGGTTCCCTTCTTAAGGGGCAGATGAGTTACCTGGCACATTACACATATGGAACTATAAAGATCATCACTAAATTCAACTTTCACATTTTTAGTTAAACTAAAAGACTTATAGTAAATATTCAAATATATCATATCTTCAGTTACAACTGAATAAGTGTAACATTTCACCAGATAAAAGCTGGAATTTAGCAATTCAATGCAATGCCACTGGCATCATAATGCTGTGGAGAGCAAATTTATCTCCATATTTTAGTCAGATTTGTCTTTCTTCTTTTCTGTTAAGGGCACTTTGTTTACAATAGCAGACCCAACAGCTGTAACACCTCCAGCCACAGCAGACACGTCCCCCTTTCACCATCCCAATTCCCATGGAAGGCACAGTTGTAACAGCTGTTTTGGTCACCTCCAGACTTTTTCCACCAATCCAAGCCACACCACTGGTGAATGGTGGCACCAACAGCTCCCTTTGTAACACTGATGAGACCCCCGATCACACGGGACAACATGCCTGGATGCTGTTGTGGGTGATCTTTTATTGAACCTTCTGGAGGTTCATCACTAAGGTAAGATGGGATTTCTTGTTGATTTTTATCTGCCTGATTCATGATCTCCGCTGGGGTCAGGGGCCACCGCCTGGGGCCAAGGCCAGGCAGAGGGAGCTGACAGCATTGAGAAAGGCTGAGGCAGCCTGAGTGGCTGGCACAGCCCTGGTCGGTTGGGGACCTAGTGGTGCCTACTTAAGCTGTGGGGCCAGAAGACTCCGTTGACAGAGGCAGCAGCCTCGGGCTACGGATGTGGCGCCAGATGCGATGTGCCCCTCTCTCAAATAAACTCTTAAAAGACTTTTTCTTAGGCTGGATGTTCTCTCTTCGAGAATGTGTTTTGTATATTTAGGTAGAGGTGTCCAGAATACAGTTAAAAATACGAGTCTGGAATTCAATGCTGAGGTTGGCATTTAAGAAACAGATTTGGGGGCCAGCTGAGTGGCTCATTGGTTAAGAGTTGGCTTGGGAGCGTGAGCTCTGAGCAGCAGGGTCTCCTGTTCAGATCCCACATGGGTCAATGACGCTGTGCCCTCTACAGCTAAGATGGTGAACAACAGCTCAACCTGGAGCTGGGCTGCCGTGAGTCGCCGGCGANGACAGCAACTTGTCTGTTCCTCTTCCCCCAACTCCCCAGCACTGTTCCCATCCCCCCAATAACCCAATAAAAATATTTTTAAAATAAATAAATAAATAAGTGACTATAAACACAAGAAGCTTCTAATCCCAGGAGGATTTAAATACTTCAGTGATGAAAAGCTATAGTGAATTATAGATAAATGGATGCTTTAGAACAATTTTGAGGGAGTCGCAAAACTTTCTTTGTAACATTATTCCAAGGATGAAAAATGATCTAAATGGATGTTTGGTCTCACCAATGTGGCAACTCTTATATTGCTTGGGTTTACAGACTCTTTGATCTTTTTCTATAATAGTAATAAATTTTGCCTTGTTCAACTAACACTGTGCATTGTGCACTACATTCCCAAATGTTCAGAGCCACTCATCTTGCTTACTCTCCTCCTCTAGGAGGACTCGGGGAGATTTCTTTTCTGTCTGGTCGATGCAGTACCACATTCCCCGGTGCCTGCTGTGGAAGACCAGGGTTATGCTAAACTGGCAGATTATCTCACTTGACTCCTATGTTAGGCTTTTCTTACTTCTAGAATTTTGTATAGCATGGCCTTCCCATTTCTCGTAACACTGCTTTCAAAAGTAAAATATTTGAAAAAAGTACTAACTATAAAGAAGAAAATTATGTTTGGGAATATATGAGGGAAGGAAAGGGAGGGAAGGTAGAAAAAGAAAAAGAGAGAAAGGGGGGGAAAAGAGAAATCTGACCACTTTAAAATCAGTTAACATAATTACAGTCATTCAGTTGAGCAACGAAAGAATATGACAACTTCATGAGTGTGAAAAACAAAACAAAAACCATGGTAATGGGGCAGGCAAAGAAAAGCTGAGAAAGACTGTAACTCTGAACTGGTCATTTTGCCCTGTAATGATCCTACAAGCTATTTTTAGACTTCAGAGAAATGTAAGTGTGGCCAAAGCTATCTCTGGTTTCATGTTTATATATCACTACTAATCACAAAGGAGAGTGAATATAAACATATTTACTAAGTAAGGCCACTGGCTTTTCTGATTAGAAATAGTTCAGGAGAAGGGAGACAGCAGGGACTATACAGTCGTTGTGTAAGTGGCGCCCTCTAGTGGCTATTTAGATTCCCTGTATGTGGATCCTAAAATGCACTTCCAAGGAGGAAAAGACCTTTAGGAAAAAAAGAACTAAATTTTTAGAAAACGAACACCAACAATAAAAAACCCACCTTGTTTTAACGTCCTGACATAGAGGGGTTTTTTTTTTCAGTGTGCTCTGGCAGCAAAGCTAAATTTTTTAATTGGGGAAAATAAAATATTTGCCTGTAACATAATTGTTAAAAATAAGCTGTCTTTGACAAAATAAAATGGCAGTGAAAAACACAATAGCAATTATTCCTTTGGGGCAGATTTCTCCTACCTGTTTGCCAATGTCTTCATCCAATTCTAAAGAATTTGCACAAGGGAAATGAACCCTGTAAATGGATCAATACAATGCTAAATAACTGCCATTTACATATTGATGAATATACTTGGAAAAACATTATTCCACTAGAAGTCCTTTCCTTATAGTTCATGTGTAAAGGCTATCCTTTCATTATATTTATGCTAAGGTAACTGCAGAACTTGACATTATTTTTTGTGAATTTGTTGTTTAATCCAGTGTTAAGCATGATAGAAAAAAACTTCACTTTGATTATTCACTAAGTTTCTTTAGTAATCGGTAAAGAGTAGTTATGTTTGATACAGCTATAACAATCCAAACGGATCCTGAGGTAACCATGTCATAAACTGTTTGATGGCCTAAGGCTTTGGGCATTATTTGACAGGCAAAAGCAAGCTGTGGTATTGACAAGATTCTTTCAAAGATAGATTACACTATTGGTACCGTAAAGGATAGACTAGATCAGGAAGCACAAGGAAGACCAGTTAGGAGGCTAGTATGGATAGTCCAAGTGAAAGATGATGCAAGACTAAACTAATAAGGCAGAGAGGATGGATAAAAGATGGGCTAGATTGAAGATTTATCTGAAAAAGAATATTCAACATGAGGGTGAGAGGAAGGAATTGAGAATAACTGAGATTTCCAGCTTGGAAAAAGGGATTGATGGTGACATCATTAACTAAAAATGGGAATCTAGTGGACCAGTGTTTTGTTTATCCAGGTAGGTAATAAATAATGTGGATGAAAAAGGGGCCACACACTAAACCTGACAAGCTCAGGGGAGGCCCGCATGGAGGGCCTTACAAACCAAAAGTAACCACACAGGGTGGTCTGAATGTAAAAATTCCTAACTAAAAGCGGGTCGTGGTGGGTAGTTATGTCCTAGGCCTGAAGTTTCCTTGACAAGGTCAGCCATTACCTTTGAAACTGTCTATTGTCTTTGTGCATCTAAGATAACATACCTTTGAAATGTCAGAGTAATTTTCTTTTCTAGACCCCTCAAAGGCACAACCACCAGTACCAGAGCAAAAGACCACGTTATCTTGTTGCCCATATACATTCTCTATGTTCTGTAAATGTTAACTATCTTGTACCCACCAATGTAAAAGTAATATATCTCCTCGTTTTACTTTTTTATCCAATCTCAAAGATTTTGCCACTTTGTTTTCTCCTGTCTCTCTAATCTACCACTAATGAATTTCATGTAACCTCCCTTATGTCTCTTCCTTTGATTCTAATGTATAAAATAAGCTGCAAAACTGCCATTCTCCAGAGCATTTTCTCAACCATTGAGATCGTGCTTCTCGGCAACTGTCGCCAGTTTGGCTCAAACAAACTTTTTTTTTTTTCCTGTTTTAAAATTTCCTTTATTTCCTTAGATTTTTTGAAACATTTAATCTTTTGCAGATTGTAGTGCTTTCATTAACAGATTCATTTATTATTTTCCCATTTTAATACAAAAAAAATTCAGTCAGTTATTTCATCTGACATTTCACTAAGTGCAGGATTCATAATGTCAACATTATTAGTCACTTATGTGGGTCACACAAATTGTACCAATACCCACTCAAAAGATAAGCTTAATAACAGATGCCTTCAGGTGTATACAACAACCTAGTTTCTTGAGGTTAACTAGTACTGTTTAACAGGTCAAATTGCTAATCTACAAATCAAATGGTAAGTTTAGTTCAACAAGAACCTCTGTAACTGTTCATTTGTACAGTTCTCTGCTATCATTGCAAAAGCCTCTTCTGAACAAAGTTTATAATTTAAAATAAACTTGCTAAGATAAAATGTACCAGTTACCAGTAGGCTGTTTTGTAGCAGAAATTAATTACAACCATTTTTCTCAAGCAACATTCAAGACAACAAAGTTGAAAATAAATATGCAAGCATACAGTAAACTAAACTATATTTAGAAATTCAGGTACAAAGCACAGCACAGCCTATGACTATTGAAGATACATTAGAAATATAAACTAGTAATGAAGCAATAATTTCTTTCAAATAGCAGGAAATGAGTTCTCCAATACCATTATTTAGATCATTATTTGTGTTCATCTATTAATTTTGGAGTTTTTTTAACCTTCCGTTGGGTGCAACTGATCTCACAGATTCATTGCACATAAAGATGCCACTATGAAACACGTCTTTACTGTACTAAGTCACAAACAAAGCTGGCGATAGGTTATGGTAGAGGGGGAAGATACGCAAGTGATGAATCATGATACTTAACTGTGAGATATTTGAAAATTTGTGTGCAATGAATCTGTGAGATCAGCTGCACCCAATGGAGGGCCAAAAGACCTTTGCTAATTATGACATTTGACCAGATATACCAACAAGCATACCTCAAATCAGACAGCATGAAATAAATGGCCACTTAATTTCTGATGACACGAACTCCTTAATGACTTTTCAGTTTGTATACTGTAGAAAGGTTCTAGAACTTTTGTTGATTTGGTATTTATGGAAGCTTTTATTTATTTTTATTTTTTATGGAAGCTTTTAAAAGGTATGTTCTTATCCATTTGTTAATCCACATTATTAATGAAAAACTCAGTTGTTTACAAACATTTAAGCCTTGAGTGTCAGAGTGATTGGTTTTAAGTTTTCAGAGATGCTATTTGACTTATTTTCTCCAGAGCGTCACACCTTTCCTCCTTTCCCTCACAAGGAAAAAAAAAAAAAAAAAATCTGCAGAATGAAGGCAGATTTCCAGGCTTAAGTGTAAAG